ATGTTATTGCTGAGATTCTTTCAATTGATTGAACAGTAATAAAAGTGAATTTAATACTTCATAGTTAATAATATCATTAAGGAAATGTGTCTTTTCCAGCAAGTTGCAGTTCATGATGAGCCTCTTGAGATAATTGTGACACACTCGTGTTAATTATACGAGTGCACAAAGAACCATGGTGAAGAGTTTACCATGTTGTTTAGAAGGCTGTAGTACTCTACTAAAATTTTCAAAGTATTCATCGTTTTTATACAAGATTAGTATAAGAGGTTGAATCACCTGTCCAAATTGGTCGTTTGCGGTTGAATTGGGACCAAAATATCATTTTAGAGGCAATATTTATTGTCGAGTTAATTCAGTAGTAGAACTTGAGGAATCAGAACTTAATAAAAGGATTTCTGCAAACTGCAACACTTAACATGCCATACAATTGATAGAATCACTTTTACTGCAAATCAAACTTAAAAGTAAAATCAGGAAAGGAGGGGTATTCAGATAACTATTTGCAGATGTATTATAAGATCTAATTAGATGTATCGTTATTTTGCGGTCACAGGTACTGATTATAGAAGTGAATACAGTTCCAGGAATGACTCCTTCCACTGTCTTGATTCATCAGGTGATATATCTGCTTCTTCTTCAATGACCACATATGTTTGCAAGTTTGGACCAAGTTTATGCTATTTGTAATTATCAACAAAAGGACTATATACAATGTCTTATATAAAAAAAAAAAAAGGTTCAGTGAGCAATTCGAACAAGTTAAACTTCAACGATTGACATTATCATGTTTGTTGTATTTAGGCACTTTCAGAGCAACCTCCCCTGTATCCTCAGCAGTTCTTCCGCACGTTGCTTGATCTGGCATCAGAGAGATCTATGTGAATATAATTATATCAGAAGATTTCAGGTTGTTCATTTCTTTCTTTCTATCCGTTCTCCATCCATCATTTTCCTTCCTATGTTGTATGTTAATTCAAGACTTTGTAAAATGTTGTGGAAGAAGACTTGCCTTTTCGGGATCTTTGTTATCTACTAAGTGTACATGTTGAACTACTATAAATGCAGATCCCTTCTCAATAATTCTTGTTCCTATAAAGTGTGTCTATCAAACATAAATCGATTGGTGTGCAAGTTTAAGGGGCCGCATATGTATTGGACTACTGTTTACAGGCTATTTTGTAAACTAGATCACCCAAGAGCATGGAACTATAATTATCACCTACTTTTAATACAGCTGTTCAACCTTTTGAAATTTCCATTAAATTGTTAATGCAATAAATGATGTTATTAATATAGGGTAACATACGTAAATCTCACTAGTTTAGGAGTTAATTACTCCCTTGGTCCTACAATAGTTGTTCACTATACTAAAAATAGTTGTCCAACAATACTTGTTCAATTTAGAAAATCAAGAGATAATTTACCTTTTGTAACGATTTTACCTTTGCTATTAAATATTATTTATCATCTAACACATTTCTCAAAACATTAAATTTAATAAAGTCAAAGGATAATATAGTAATATTACCTCTATTATTTATTGTTTCTTTAGGGGTGTGACAAGTCAATAGAGGACAATTATTGTTGGACAGAGGGAGTACTTAGCTTCATGCTAGTTTGTAATATTACAAATCTTATCGGACTTTGGACTTCGGATACATGAATTTGGCGTGTCCAAATATCTATATCTTGGATAAATGATATCAAAATTAGGTGTAATTTATTTTAAATACACTGTATCCGAGTAAATTTGCATGTATCCAACTCTCTTGCTCGTCATTATCCTCTCTTGCTCGCCGCTCTTCCTGATTCACATATATTTGGGAATCTCTCTCCTTCTCTCGCTTGCTTCTCTTCATATTTTAGTGTATCTAATAGCAAACATTCATGTATCTGTCTTAGAAATCGGGCACGAAACTATTAACTTTTTTCTTAATAATTAGCACTTTTTTGGTTAGCAGTTATTAGTTTTCCTCAGTGGTCCAAGAAGTACAACATCACATGGTTTCTCCACTGTAATATTAGCTGCAGCCAGTAGTCACAAGATAGTCATATTAATAAATTCTGACTTTAAATACAGATCCAGAATGAGAAAAATAAAAGTCTTACCTATAAGTAGTTGAATGTGAGTCGTAATATTTGAATTATATTAATAGTTGGATATTCCAATACAACAGGAGTCTATCAATAAAAGTCAATGAAACATCGATATTAATGAATAAATAAGTGTGTTAGGTACATCTTTCGCTTAGTGAAAAGTAATGAGACTAATTTCCCCTCCTTTCTTGCTTATGCACCTTTATTTAGATTCTTTATATTTTTAAATTATCGTCGAAAAATATCTTCGATAAAAATCAACAAATCTCTTGGTCAAAAACTAAGGAAATAATAGCAGCCACTGAAATCTCAAAGGTTTAGTTCCAAGACTATCAGAGGCGTATGTATGTGAAGGGGAGGGGGTTCACATGCACCCATCCTCCCCTTCCTAACCCCTATATAATACTACTATTTTTCTAATTATCTTTTTAAATTTGTATTGGTGAACCCAAGGTTAAAAAAAATACTCTAGTATATTGATAAGTAAGTACAAATAGGGGGTGCATAACTTATAGATTTGTGGTTCAAATTTTTCTATCCACATTAACATTTTTAATTTTTAATTAATATAACAAAATGTGCCACTTTTCATAGATCTTTTTAATAATTTATAAATAAAAAGAGGTTCAAATACCCATATTTTTAGGTTGCATTAGCTATGTCTAGACCTTAAGCTAGAAGTGTCAATAAAGTCAAATTATATTTTTTACTTTCTTTTTCTCCTTTCCTTCTTTATTTAGACGTTTTTCTTATTTATTTATTTTAACTTTTTCTTTTGACTTTTCAAAGCCCTAAACTAAAAGGT